TTATGCACAAACAATGAATCATGGAACACTGCATCAAAAACTAATGATGTAATGTATGGTGGTTAACATAACAATAAAAAAAATTATTAAAAAAGAAAAAACTAATGATGTAATGCATGGTGACTAACATAATAAAATAAAATTAATAAAAAAAAAAGGATTACTCACTGAAAAAAAAATGGAAAAAAAGAAAAAGAATATCCCACCCTCTAAAAGTATAAAGAGAATGCCCAATTTCTAAAATTTTTTGATTTTTATTTTTTTCTATGATTCTCTGAAGCCTCCTTAAAAAAAAAAGCCAGAATGACAAACATCTAATACCAAATCTGGTCATTTGTCCCACAAAATCAGGACATACAATTGAATCAAACAGGACTACACAGATTGCTTTCCACATCAGCTGGTGATGACTCTGGCATCTGGCCCCAATTCTAATTCTATTAGAAATTCTTGAAATTAAAGTAAATTCCAATAAGATAATTACAGGGCTCAATCTCAGGGTCCCCCAGAATTTACTTACTACAGGTTGGTCTTCTTTGGCCACACTCTCCTCATATTCTGCTTCCCTTTGCTGCCAAGAGACAGATACAAATTAATCTGGAAGAAGAACCACGGTCTCTACATGAAGTGAAAGGAGACAGTGAAAAGCTGTGTCTTTCAAAATGCAATCCCCTAACAGCATCTGTCTCTGTGTGGCTGCTGAAATGGTTGACGGGGGTGTTGGAAACCTCTTCTGGAGGTGCCTGGACGTGCACTGGATGAGGGGTGGCCACACTAGACAGAATTAGACACCCACCCACCAGCACATTCTGTAACCAAGCCTGAGTCCTTACCATCTCCCTTTCTTCCTCAAGAATAAGAGGCTCCCTTGTTCTCTCCCAAAGTCTCAGGGATTTGTCATGCGACGATGACACAACATAGTCTCCATTGGGGCTTACGGCCAAGCACCAGATTTCCTGGTGGTGCCCCTGGAGAAAGAAGACACAAAAAGAGAAATGCTGAGAAGGAACACCTTATTCCTTGGCTGAAACCTGCTCTGAGTGGAAGATCAACACTTGATCTTAAAAGTAGTTCTGAATACTGAGCAAGCAAAGCAGGCAAGAGGTCACCTCCAGAGTCTGTATGTGTTCAAATTTGTCCGCATCCCACTGCTTAATCTTATGGTCCTTCCCAGCGGTGAAGAAGAGGTGGGACTTGGGCACAAACTGTAGGTACATCACACTGAAAAGTGAGAAAAGTGATCAAATGTCATCCAATTCCACACTAGTGAAGAGCCTCATGCACAGTTTTGAAGAGCTAGTTCTAGCATGCCTGGTTATTTATATTTTAGAATTTTATATTTATGACTGTCTGAATAGACACAGACACTCAAGGGAAATGATATGTACAGGACTCAAAGGGACGTCTTTGAAAAGACTGCACCTACCTGTCATCGTGTGCAAAGAGAGACTTGTGGCAGTCCCCAAAGTCCAAACCCCAGATTTTCACGTTCCTGTCAGCAGAGCCTGTTGCTATTAGTGCTCCATCCTACGAGGAAGAGAAGGGAACCATTACTTTACCTGATTATCAGAAACTCTACATTTAGATAAAGCAAGACTAACCCATTTCTTTCAGAAACATTAAGATCAATACAAATTTCATCTCTATCAAGAGCACCTATTTATTTGCTTTAACCTAAGATTTCCTTAAAAAGCTTGTTGAGTGAAAGCACGAACTCTGTGGCTCCAAAGTTTTCGTACTGCTACAGGGCGGTACTGTGCCTTGATGTTTGTTACCTATTTACTTCCTTGACCAGGAAGAAAAATCGCTCATCTCTGTCACAGGATTTGGGGGAAGAGGGAAGGAGGAGGAAAGAAAAGTCTGGAAAAGAACCTACTAGAATGTTTGCGACCCAGCCTTTTATCCCATGTTCTCTCTTTTATCTTTCCTATGTCAATGCCTCATTCAAATAGTTGTCAGCATAGCAAGACCACTGGAAATATCTTGTGCCGCCCACTTCCTGTTAATGTACTGATCACAGATGGCCAGAGTATGCAGTCCTTTCACACAGATTCCCACTCTTATCCATAACTAGACATTGCAAAAATATCATTTTGGTCAAGGAACTAACAGTATAGATATAATGCAAAATAATGTCCAAATGTGAAGCCAAGTTCCATCTTCTTCACCGGCATTATCTTTCAGAACAAAGGGGGATGGCTTCTTTAAAGTCTTTGGTATTTTAGGGTGGTCTACCAATCATAGTATTTTAGATAACAAAATACTATCTGGGGAATCCACAACAGGGTGTTAGCTGTAAGGATTAACTCAGATATTCTGAACATATTCTGACAGCACTAAAGTAATTTATATAGAGAAAATATATATACACACACACACACACACACACACACATACATGAGGTACAATTACAATATACATTATTTTATGGCTTTTTGGGGAGAAAGATATACAACAGGGTGAAAAAATACTCTAAAATGAAGATAGCAAGCCAAGAACAAAGAAAGTGCTTGTTACTAAGACATTTTAAGTTTTACTTACATAAGAAATGTCCATGCATATAACAGGCAGTTTGTGTCCATAGAGTGAAAGAAAAAACTAAACATTAAAAAAAAAAAAAGAATGTAAATAATTCACGTCTGCCTATAAGATATAGGCATTGTTTGTTACATGTGGATCTAAAGTAGAACTTTAGGATACAATCCTAAACACTGTTCTGGATTGCTTCCTATTTATATTTTCAAGGAAAACAAACCACTGAAGGCAACTCGTACCCGTGTCCACCACACGGAGCCCTCATGCACTTGCCCCGACACTGCACCGTGGAGGAGCCGGTGCCCCAGAAGCCTACTACCTCAGTCGGAATAGGCCACAGGGACGTCCTCTGCATCTCTTAGCTGCAAAGACTCTGGGCACTCGCTTCCCAACAATGTTCCCAGGCCTGCTACAGTCCTCCCGACTCTGGGCCTAGGGCCCAGTAATCTGTAATTTTTAAAAGCAACCCAAATGATCCTGATGTCCAGCCAAGTGTGGAATCCCTGCCCAGGAGATGCAGCAATTCTCTGCAATTACTGGCGGCAACAGGATGTGCTATCTACAGATTTTCTGAGCTTATGAAATACAACTCGCTTTAAGCAAAATTTATGAACCAAAGGGTTCTGTAAAAATCCTAGCCTTCCTAGTACACCTACAGTGTTTTGATTCACACATACATCTTTAGAAACCTACCACTGCTGGGCACAGTCAAGGCCACTTTCCAGGCTCAACTCACGGTCAGTGAGAAAGACAGAAACTATTCCCAGGCATAATCACTGTACCTTTAAAGTGTCAACATAGAAAATTTTCACAGTACAGTCCAGCAAAGACACAGCCAACAGTTTTTGGTTGGGAGAATAACTGACACACAGGACGTCTTCATCTAGTTGCAAGGTTCGGGTTTGCTTCACAGAAAGTCTAGCATGATGGAAAGCATGAAATAAATAAATAAATAAATGAGGGCTCTACACAGGCAGACAAAAATTCCAAAAACTCTCTGGAGCGCAACAGAAATACACATGTCAAAAGCCCATTCAGTGGTTCCCCATTCTCCCTCCAAAAAAAGGACACAAATTAAAAAATGTCTACTCACCTCTTCTGGGTACTATTTTCATCTTTTACCAACTCAAAATCCCAGAACTTGACAGATTTATCTGCACCACCTGTCACAAAGCCACGCTGAAAAGCCAATGACATTGCAATTAAGAAATACTTTATTACAGAAACTTTGGTAAGAAGTTATATATCAAAATTGTATAAAAGACCATTTTTACTTAACAGCATGGGAGAAGAATTAAGAAAAATGTGGTTCCTTCCTAACCGCTTCCACTGCTCTTTTGGGGCTGCTGCCACAGACCTTATTCAAAAATTTCTAGCAGGGGCTAATGTAGACAGATGGTAACTAGTGTCAAGTTCTAGTTATACTTTCATTCAACATCAGGAAGTCTCTGAACATTGTAGGGTTTCTTGCTCCACCTGAGAAAGTACCAGTCAAAGAATTTGCTATTAAGTAATAAAATGGTTTGACAAATATATACAGACTGGATCATCAAAATAAGTTTATTCAAAGTATTTACCTCAGTAGGGTATAAATTTATTCCTGCAATGTCCCTACTTAAAATATGTTTGAAACTGTTTTCCAGTATCAAGAAATTAGTCCCATCACATTGTAGTATTAAAGTATATAGAACATGGGTCAGAAAACTAGACCCCAAGTGTTTATTCTGCCATTTGAGATTAGTAACATAGAAAAGAACCCACCGATGACCTTTAGTGTTGCTGTAATGACAAAGACTATAGTTTATAAAACCATTAAGCAAATAATAAATGACATGATGGATATAAAAATACTTTGCAGAAAGAGAATCCTCTACAAATGCAAGATGTTACTACTATTTAAATTTTAAAGCTGTTTTGATCTGACCCCAAATGGCATAACCCACCCTGAATTTCATATTCAATTTTTGCCAAAAATGGTATCGACTTTCAATGGATGAAGGTTTGCCACTATTGAGAAGATTCAAATGAACGGGCCACAATCTCTTACTATTGTCCAAAAAAATACCTCAAAATGTTCTGAGCAACAGCACCATGACTAGAGTTAAGTATACAGTTCTCCAAGGTGACCCCCTGAAGGGAAGCACCCCGTTACTGACTTGAAAGGGCTGGTATATTTGCTATCAACACTAGACTTATATAGTCATAGACGTATAGACTAAAAGGGGAATAGAAAAGTCTACTCTATCCTCTGCATTTTGTTGCCCAAGGAAATATTCCCTCTTAGGAAGTAGCACAAACCATTGGTGAAAACTCACAAGGGTAAGCAATCGGATGTCATGCGGCTGATGATCAAGAGCAGCTGAATGAGAATTCATTTGATAATGACAGCTATTCATATTATCAGGCACATGATATGCCATCATATAGGAAATCTAAAGATTAGACAAGAAGCGGACTTTCTTTAAAGAAACACCGAAGAAATCTTTGTTGGGCAGCAGTAAAACCTGATGTAAGAAACTGGGAAGTACTCAAGTCCAGATCATAACATCTGGTTTCGTTACCTGATCTGGAGAGAGAGACAAGGACCATAAAGCTCCATCATGTGCGTCTATTGTCTCCAGCAGATTTCCTGAGGCCAAGTCATAAAGCTGCAGCTTTCCTGTCTGAGGAGGACACAAAATGAGCACAGCTCCAACTAGCACACCCACAACCTCCAAGATTCATGCCTACGCAGTTCAGGAAAGATCTCACGGCCGAGCAGCAACCATGTGGCTCACGGTTTAGCACATGGATCCCACAGTCCCTGCTCTGTGCCTCCTATCTGAATAAACACCACTGATGTGCTGGGTTAACTCTGGCAGGGTTGCTCGGCGGCACGATGACGGAACCGGGCAACCTGGCAGTCCTGGCCTCTTGTCACATTCACTGGTTCTCCAACTTCACAAGGGAAATAGCTTGGCCAGAGGCAAATCAGGAGAGACACAACAGCAACAACACCTAAAAACCTTTCAAGCTTAATCAAGTTTAAATGGTAACTAGCCTAACTAACTCTTCCCCATCTAGTTTTGGTTTCCTCCTCTAGAATACACTGACAATGAGAAATAGGTATCTATCTACGATGCTAGGGAGGGCAATGGACTTAAAACAAAAACACAAAAAACCCGCAAAAGCTTAGAAGACAATGAGCCACGCTTCCTGCTTAGAACTTGGCTAATGAAAAAAAAGGATAGAAAATTTAAAAACTAAAAAATAAAATAAAATAAAATAAATTTAAAAAATAAAATAAATAAAAATAAAAATAACATGATCACATACACAGACCGGCAAGGCCTGCTCTATGATGGGCTTCTGCACATGGGGTGGCAAGAGTGTAAGGAAGACCTGAGTTCCAGGGCTGCCTCTTTCAGACTCTGTGACTATTGCTGAATTCACCTCCAAGAGCCTGTTTTCTCATCTGTAAAATGGGATTTACAGCACCAGCTTCTCAAAGTGGTTTGTGGGCATTAAATGAGATCATGTACATTAACTGCCTCACACAGAGACTGGGCTGGGGTCTGCGGATTGCACTTTAACCATATAGGTAGACTTCGAAGATAGTCACAAAACGCTCTCCTAACAAAAACAATAGAGGGGACATTTGTTGAAAGAATGAATGAAAAACGAGAGAAACTTGTAATTGGAATTTAATGTTCATTCCCTGACAGTGACCCTAAAATCTCTCTGGCTTATTTTACACTTTTAGCTGGGCAAAAAAATACCCATTGTGATACACAGGTTTTCTAATAAAACAATTGTGCATATACAGCACGAGTTTAGAGGGGCGACAATGACAAATCCTTGCAAAGCACTTTTCAAAGTATTCCAAAGACCTTATTCCATTTTATTCTCACTGCTACTCCTACTACCAGTACTTCTGCTCCCGGCTCTTATTTACTTGTTATTTGCTGTGAGCCAGTTTTTGTGCTAAGTGCTTTCCATAGGGTGAGGTAGGTTGTTTACCTCATTTTACATGAGAAAACCAAGGCGTACAGGGACAAGTAACTTGCCCAAAGTTCTCACACTCAGTGAGTGGAAAATCTAGAATTAAAGCCTAGGCCTATGTAGTGCAAAAGTCACTGTCAAAAAGCACTTGTTGTCATCCTATTATATAGATAAGGAAACATACTAAAAGGAGTTTCAGGACTTGCAGCAATTTATCCATTCTAAAATGGGGAGAATCTGGATCCAAATCCAAGTCTGCTTATTCCCGCACATTTATCTCCCAATCTGATTGGCAACTGGGAATGAGGACTAGTCAGTCTGTCTTTACTGAATGCTTCTAGCTGCCAAGCCGGACAATAGGCACTTCATATATTTCATCATTAGTCTTGTCAAAACACAACTACATATGTGTTTGTGAAGAGATGCACAAAAGGCCGACCACCAAAACAGGAATGGACAGTTATCTCAAGGTTATGATTGTAATTTCCTTCCTCACAATCTAACATAAGGTTTGATTTTTTTAAAAACACAAATAAAGAAAATAAAACTTAAAAGAAAACCCCTCAAAAAAGGGCAACAAACTACCAACCTTCTCACATTACCCAGCTCTCATTCATTTCCAATATGCAGAAATAGGAACCAGAGTTCTCAAACAACTTTAAGAATATTGAGTAGAAAAATCTCCAAAATCCAAGAAAAAGCCTCAGTTTACCTTTGTTCCTATGACCACCTGCCTATCACCAGGTACGAAGAACGAGCACAGCGCGTATTCGCAGGTCATCGTGCGGATACACTGTAATGTGGCCCTGTGAGAAAGAACGAATAAAGAACCGCATGTTAAGAGAACCTGCTCCCCTGTCTTAGAGGTCAGCATGTTCGTTCAGTACACATCTAGTCACACAGAGCTCGGCTCGGACCCAATTATAGTCAAGAGAGAAAAATTTAAGGGCACCTGGGTGGCTCAGTTGGTTAAGCGACTGCCTTCGGCTCAGGTCATGATCCTGGAGTCCCAGGATCGAGTCCCACATCGGGCTCCCTGCTCAGCAGGGAGTCTGCTTCTCCCTCTGACCCTCTTCCCTCTCGTGCTCTCTATTTCTCATTCTCTCTCTCTCAAATAAATAAATAAAATCTTTAAAAAAAAAAAAAGAGAGAGAAAAATTTAAATGGCACTTTTTTTCTTTTCTTTTGGTAGGGGCCTCCTAATCCTAAGGAACAGAGATTATATAAAAGCAGGGCAAAAAAAAAAAAAAGCATCTGCTGGGCTCAATGTGCCACCATAAAGAAGTAATCGAGCCCACAAGATTACAAGTCGAATTAGCCTATTATTAAATATCTCTACGAGTTCATTTTATCGGACGATAAACATTCATTCATCCCTTCAACAGATATATATCAAATGCCCACTTCATTCAACACTTACTGAATGCCAGATGCGATTCTAGGCGCTAGAGGTTTAACAGTGAGTTAAACAGAAATGACCCTGACATTCTTTAGGAGCAAGAGAAACACATACTGGTCTATCAGGTGACAGCAGGTGCTATGGACAAACAACACTGGGGGAAGCGGAGGAAGAGGGTCAGGGTGGTAGAAGGTTCCAGGCACAAAGAACAGGCGCGTAATCACCACAGCAGGGACATGCTCTTGCTGTGTTTAAGGGATGAGAAAAGGCCAGTGGGCTCTAGCGCAGCAGAAGGGGGGGTGGTCAAAGGTGAGGTCTGTGAGCACTTTGGCTTCCAGGCAGGGTGAGGTGGATCTACTGGGAGTGACACTTCCATTATGAAGATGACGCTGGCGGCTGTGTGGAGAACAGACTACAAGGGGGCACACAGCGGGGAGACCCACCAGGAAGCTATCTCGACAACAAGAACGGTAAGAAGCGATGGCGGACGGGAGCTGGGGATGGCAGCACAGGTGAGGACACGTGCTGGATGCTGGCTAAGTTCTGAAGCTGCAGCTGACAGGATCTGCTAGTGACCCGGACCTAGGATATGAGAGAATGACTACAGCATCTAGGGGAGAACAACTGGAAGGAAGTAATTACTTTCGAAGACGGGGAAGAGCTACAGGTGGGAGATGGTGGGAGAAAGAAGACCACAAGCTTGGTTTGGGCCATGTGAAAAATGGAGATGCCCAGTGAGACAGCCGGGTGGTGATACAAACAAAAGACTTGGATGTAAGGGTCTGGGGTGCAGGGAGCGGCTAAAGCTAGAGAAAGAAATGTATGCGTCGTCAGCATGGAGAAAGCTGCAGAAAGTGAGTGTAGAAAAGGTCCAAAGACTCTGCCCTGAAGTACTCCAACACTCAGGGGTCAGAGGGTAAGAAGGACCCAGCACAGACACAGGGCACGGCCAGCAGAGGAAGAGGACGTAATGAGAGTCAAAGTGCTTCCAAGGGGAGAAAGGAACCCATTCCAGGGGAGGGCGTCACATGAAGCTTACGGGTCACTGGATTCAGAAACATGAAGATCCCTGATGAGGTGACAGGAGCTGCTATGGTGAAAAGGTGGGGAAAGGCCTGATGGGAGACGGATGAAGACAGAACAGAGAAAAGAAATCAGAGGATGGGACGTAACCAGAGAGACTGAGGAGGAGACAGGGCTATTACTTCTTTTCAGATGGGAGGTATTAGAGCATACCTGCATGCTGACGGGAACGATCCAACAGAGCAGAAATGTTAAAGACACAGGGGGAGGACAACTGTTAGCAGGGGAGCAGAGAAAGAGCCACAGGTACAGGTTGTGGTTAACGTTGATTAGGAGCACCAACACAGGGACAGGAGGAAAAATGGACTACGTGGGTATACACGTATATACATGCTGAGTTGGCAGGTGTGCCGGGAGCACATGAACGTTTACTAGATGATTCCATTTTTCAGTGAATTAGGAAGCAAGGTCACCAGCTTGAAGGTGCTAGAGGTTTTTGGGGCTTGAGGAGAGAAGAGGTGTGGAATAGTCATCTAGGAAATGAATGGAAAATTAAAGTAAAAATACTGGACAGCACTAAGAGCCTACTAGAATTCAAGGAGTAGGCAGCCTGTTTGTGTGTTTTTCTCTACCCAAGTACGGTGACAAACCTCAGACATGGAATAAGCTTGTGTTTATTTTTTTCACCAAATTTTAAAAAGCAACCTTTCCAACTCTAAACTCCACAGGCCCACAGTCAAGATACATTTTTGATGGAACGGTATGTAGGGCCTCAAGAGACTAACAACTAACCATCAAGAGTACTAGAACCTCATTCGCAGGAAAGAAAACATGACTGGATAAAAGTATGGAGAGCACCATTTCACAAACCTGTTCCATATTTTCACGGAATCTGCCGCGGCTGAAAGGACAGCAATGTTGTCAGAGCTGAAAGACAGGGTCCGCACATCACTGCGATGACCCCCGATGGTGATTCTACTTGTCCTGACAGGCTGAGGAGCAGGCGTGGATGGGTGCAGCGAATATGACTCCACCAAGTTGTTCTGCAGCAGGAAGACTGCCTTCAACTCTCCTTGAGGTGAATGAATCAAGTCAAAGGATCTGTGTGAGAAAATAATTCATAAATGTTCTAGCCACCATCTTCACTCACAAGGTTAACTGTTTCTAGTACAAAGGCTTCACAGCGTCCTCCATCTATGTGATGTTTGCGCAAGTATAAAGAATTTTACAAAGAGTGCTCTGCGTCTTGGGACGGTAGTTGAGTATGGGTTTTTAACTCAAAAAAACCTGGGCTCAGATACTAGATCTGACATGTATCTTGCTTTTATGTAAGTAATTTTTATACATGACCTTAAATCCTTTTGGAGCATGGGGTACACGTTTTTCTTTTTAATTGGCAGCAGGAAAGAAGATTAAACAAATAGAAAGTTATTATAATAAAACAAATATGAGATGATGAATAAGCGGGCCTATGGTGAGGGCAGGTATCCCATGATCACTGTTTCCAAATATGTAATTCCTCTAGACTGCTTACAATGAGCATGAAAAAACCAATACAACTTTGTAGCTTACTATTTCTACAATATTGCTCTCGGGTAATTCAGATACTACACTTTTACTCACTTGATTTTGGCAGAAGTTTTGATATTAGTCACCCGTTGGATTTCATCTTGCAGAGTCATTTCGACATTGACTTCAAGGTCTTCCTCCTCCCCTTTGGAAGAATTTAATCTGGGGGGGGGTGGAGAACAATGACTTTTCTAGAAGAAGCTTTGCTATTACGTGAGTCAAATTATGGCTCCAAGACCAACAACCTGTGTAATCCTGGGAGAGTCACTTAACAAAGGAGTACCATGAGAATTATATAATGCAGTGTTATGGACAAATGCTTTGTGAACTACAGTGTCATAAAATTTTATTCCATTTAATCAGTATGCTCAATGAGTGGATTCTGAAGGCAACAGCCCATAAAATTTCCTGGGGCAAGTAAGTCTTTGTAATTCAAACTATTCCAATGAAATGTACCTGGTTAACTTTTCTAACTTCAGGATTTTTTAGAAGATCCATTAAGCTGCACTTACAAGTCCAACTATGACAAATAGACCAGAGGTCTCACAAGGTTTGCCAAGGTGACTTTTTCTTTGAGCCTTGATAAATTTCAACTACTGAGGAACCGATTTCTTTGGTTATTATAATAACCTATTCCAAGGTGATGTTGCCCCCAAATGCCAGTTCTATAGTCCTTCTCCTCACAGGCCCCAAGGTCAGCATTATGCAACCCAGCTTCCTTGTGTATGAGTTGCTGTCAGTGAAGATAACTGCTGGCCTAAGAACTAAATCATTCAGAAGCTATTTTTTAAAAATCTGTATGGCCTTTCCAGTTCTATGTGGCTCTGAGTTCACGACTCAGGAACATGCTAGTTACGAAGCTGTACTAAAGAGCAGAAATGTAAAACATGGACTCCCGGCACTCCAAACAACTTCTCTACCTTTTAACAGCAATTGCTAACAGAGTAATCGCTTCCTTAAAGAAGCCATAGTTTTTCTATCAGTACTATGTGGCTTACCCAAGATACTTTATTAATAGTAAATATTAAAAAAAAATAAATAAAAGCAACACACTTTGCTTTCTTTCTAGCTTTCTTCATCTTCTTATCCATTTTCTTCTGAATTTCTCCTTTGGAAAGGATGCAGAACACTTCTAGCACAGAATCGGTTCCCTAAAAGGTGAAACTTGATGTGAGTCCAGGAAAGGCAATTTGTAACATAGCTTTTTCTCAGTAAGACCTAAACAATAATGTTCCTTTTTCTTCCCTTACTGGTCGTATTACCTCGGACAGCTTCCTCCCTCCGGGACTGCCGTCTAATGTGTAAAGTGGGAATACCACCTCCTACTCACAGCATTGCTCCGAAGACTAAATAAGAAGCTGGCTAATGCTTTTAAACTGCTCAGAAAAGCATGCATTTAATGCTTGCTAATTAATAAGAACAATAATAGTAACTATTACTGTTATGCTAATAGAAGCTAGGGATTATAGGTCTACACAGCAGCACATAATGAATTGTTAACAAGACTGGGGGAAAATTAATCTCTACACTGCATATAAAACAAACACGAGTCTCTGAAAGGAACAGCCCCGTCCCTGCTTTCTCCGACAAATGGTACTCACGTGGCAAGCTAGAATCCTGCCTGTCCTGTCGACCGCAAGGTTCACAACTCTGTCCCTTCCCTCCCGCATGATGGAACCAGCTTTTCTGCATGTAAGGATGCGCTATGGAAGAAGCAAGGGAGAAGACCAAATTAAAATGCAAGTTCTGTCACACCTCTGAAAAGGTTCGATTCTAAAGAGATGCAGGGGACAAAGATATTCCCAAAAATGACGATAACTGTGAGTTTTTAAATTAAAAACTCTCCAACTCTCGCTTTCCCCATGACACAACACAAATGAAGATAAGAAAAACAATTACATCCTCTGGAGTTTCATCTGTCTCTGGGTTGCCATCCTCAGGCTCATGTGTGTCCTGTATTCCAGGGGAAGACCCTTTGCTTTTCTTGGGCTCTGGTTCTTCTAAGTCTTCCACCTGTTTTATAAAAATGGGAAAACGGAAGCTGAAATAATGTGTCCCCGGAAGTGTCTCTTAACCCTAATGACTTAGAAACCTGTCCTTATGGCCATGAATAAGTGCTCTCTTTGATCAAACCTCTTCAGCGGTAGGACACTTAACCAGAATATGATAAAAAAGACTACGGCAAATACAAACAAAACAGTATTCACTATACTATCTCTGGTAACTTTCCGAAAAATACGGACTATGGTTTAGTAACCTAGTAATTTAAACTGAGGTGAAAAAATGATGACTGATTCTTCATTAACTTTAAAACTTTCTTATGTGAAAGAGCTACCATATTCTGGAGGAAAGATGCCAGTCTGGCACACAGAACTACAAAGGCAATCCAGACATGAAGAAAGGATAAAGACTAGCCTACTATAGTAGAACCCACCCGAACAGCTACTGAACACAACGCTAACACACCTAACTCCAGCTAAACCTGCAGTCCATAAACTTTCTTCCACACAAAATCTTTGAGGATCTGAGAGAGTTACAGATCTCAGAACATATGTTTATACACACACACAAATTTTACACAGAATTTTGTCTGAGGGGAAAGGGTCACAGATAGCCTGAAGTCCATGCATGGACACCCAAAGGTCCAGGATCTCTGGGCTAAGAACCCCACAAACTAAAACATTAGCATCACCAGAAGGTGTAAGCCTAAAACTATCCTTCCTCGAGCTCAAATAAATGAGGGCAACTGAGCTAACAATGAAGAAAAAAATTCTGATTAAAAGTTTTAAAATTCCTTCTAGTATTATGGAAGTACTCAATAATCACAGCTAATTCAAAATTCAAAGAGCCTGTGACACTGCTAAAACACGGCATTGCCCGTGATCAAAACAAAACAAAACAATTACCTCCTGTAGATAGGCTATATCCCAAGCCCTCAGCTCACTGTCGGAAGCCCCAGTGATGAGTCGCTTGTCTTCTGACACCAGCACTAACCCCCACACCTACAGAGTATAAAAAGATTCAAATAGTATGATTTTTAAGAGACTCCAGGATATATGATGCGACATTCCAAAAATCTAAGTACACTGTCTGCGGTGAAATCTGTTTGACATTTGCACAGCCTCATATTAAGGTAACCCTTTCAAAATACAGTAAGAGAAATCTCGGGAGTGCCTGGGTGGCTCAGTCGGTTCAATGTCTGCCTTCAGCTCAGGTCATGATCCCAGAGTCCTGGGATCGAGCCCCACGTTGGGCTCCCTGCTCAGCGGGGAGCCTGCTTCTCCTCTCTCTCTGCCTGCTGCTCCCCCTGCTTGTGCACTTTATCAAATAAATAAATAAAATCTTAAAAAAGAGAGAGAAATCTCACTTTCGGAAAGAAAACATGGTCTGTGGTAGAACTGTTGATTATGCAGTAAACTAGAAGTTTCTCTGTAATTTCCTACCCTCAAATTTAGATAATGGCTGTTCAGCACAATTCCTAACTAGAACCCACTCAAATGATGATTTTAAGTCTGGTACTTCTTTGCTTTCAGCCATGCCCTGCAAATAAAAGGTACCCCATTGATGTCTATTGTATAATTTTCAGCCTCAAATATCTAAGAACAATGAAAGGAACAGTATTGTTGTGAAACAACAGTCCAAGAATAATTTGCTTTTCCTTGTCATTAATTAATGTTTTTGAGAGCCTGGTATGAACAAAGCAGGGAGGAGATGCAAAGATGTAAAATACTCCCTGATCGTCTACGTTCAGGTAACTATTATAATGACTAAGACTTGCTGTTTACAGGTCACGGGGCCAAGCACTGTACATACAGTGTCATTAGACCTCCCTATCATCAAAAAGGTGGACACATTATTTAAAAACAATGAAACTTATGTTCGTGGATTAGAAACTTCTCCAAGGCCAATTTCTACTAAATGCCAGGGTAGCTGTATCTGCTCCGACAGCTGGTGCTCACTCCCTCCACCACTCCAGTCTCTGTCTCTCAAGACAGCACATGATGATTACTGTAAGCAGCAAAAGCAAAGGGCCACAAGAGGCCCAGGGAAGAAAACCATCTTTTTGCCTTGCCATTCTCTCCCTGGGCCCGTGACCCTACATGTACCTCAGTTCGGTGGCCAACCATCGTTTTAAAGCAGTGCTGGGTATCAAGGTCCCACCATTTCACCATGGTATCTTTCCCACTAAAAAAAGAAACAGGAGAAAAATCTTATTAGAAAAAAAAATCAGTAAATGGTAGGTCAAGGACTCATGTATTGCCTTCAAAAAAATATATGTAGCAACAATGTCTAATGCTACCACTCTACCTCACCTTTTTTTAAAAAGAATCCTAACTTTCCATTATTAGGTAGAAAATACAATGTTTCACCTGTAAGCACAGAAATAACTATGAATTCAGAGTGTCACGAAACACAGACACTGACCTGTGGCTCATCATCACAGCACCCACATTCCCCCACTCTCTGACACAGAAATCTCTCACATCTCTTCTGCTCCCATCTCCCATGTCCAGCTGGTCTCCACATCCTGGAAACACCTCCTCTGTGAGGCCTTGACTCCTTCCAATCCATTTCTGCCCACGAACCTGAATTTAAGTTCTACTGCCTGAACTATTTTCATAGCTTCTCATCCGGTCTCTTTGTCCATTCCTGTGCCTTCATTACATCCAATAAACTATCAGATAATCTCTTTTTAAACTTCCACTAGCTCAAGGTTCTCTATAGAATCAAAATCAGGCTCTTTAGCACCATTTTCGAAACTTCTCATTCATTGGCTCTGAGTCTCTCTGCCAATGAGCTCTATTCCTCCCACCCCAAATGCCTCTTCCCTGCTTCTTCACTAATATAAATTGAATATAATCCTCCTTCATGACCAAACTGGAAAAAAACAACAACAAAAAAACCCCCAAAAACCCGATTTATAAAGTCCTTCCTATACAATCTCACCTCACTGTGTTATTTCCTTTCTTTTACAGTTGATCCCTGTACAATGAGGGGGCTAGTGGCGCCAACTCCCTCACCCCCAGTATAGTCAAAAATCCACATACACCTCTGATTCCCCCACAACAATAGCTTATTATTGACCAGAAGCCTTACCAGTAACATGAACAGTTCATTAACACTTATTTTGTATGTAATATTCTCATAACAAAGTAATCTAAAGAAAAGAAAATATTAAGAAAATCATAGCAGAAAACACATTTTACAGTACTTTACTGGATTTACTGAAAAAATAAACGCATACAAGTGGACTTGACCAATTCAACCCTGTTATTCAAGGATCAACTGTTCCCTAAGCTAAATGTGTATATTCTTGTAGAACTTTGGTCATTCTCTCACAAAATCTGTGTTATCTAACAACACACCAATGTGCCATCCCACAGGAACTAACCCACCAATTGTATAGCACTCAGTGCTCCTTCACAACTGCTTCTGAATCATTACTAAAGTTCTTCTAGTTACTACTGGCAAACCTTAGGATCCCAAACTTTCCTGGGTGGCCATTCCTTAGGACGGACAATTATTATATCAGGTTGAAACATATGAAATTGCTGATATTTGACCTATCACGTTTGACCAGCACAAATGGAAATTTCATATGGTTCAACCTAATAGATGTTCAGAAGGCCTACATATAGAGTATGTCTGTTCTCAAAAGGCAGGCAACTCAAACACTTGGTATTCACCTCTGCTCACTGCTCCACATTCTGTTTTCCCGACGTTCTCGGGATCCAGAAAGCAGACAGCTCATTCTATAAATGGCATGTCAAAGCTTAAGGACCATGAAAATGCTAATACCAGAGGATATTCATGACAAATCAGAAAAGAGAATTAAAAATACTAGAAGTAACTCTATGGATACCTTCTAGGATACTACTGGGGAGAAGAGGGAAGGAGAGAGGAAAGCAGAGGGCAGAAGAAGCTAACACATGAGCCTGAGGGTAGTGCGGATGAATGAGGAAGGAATGACCCAAATTCTGTCTTTGAAACCCTCTCTGATGCATTTACATAGAAAAGAACTGGAAATGAAACTGTTATTTACCTAGTAACTAGCAGATTCTTTTCTCGTAGAAACAGTGCTTGTGTGATGGCGTCCTTGTGCCCCTTTAGACGGTAGAGGCCGCTTTCATTGATCACATCCCACACAATAGTATCTGTGTCCTAAAGGGATCAGATAATACAGAAGAATTTTCTTTACCTCATCAGGCCTCGACAAACAATACGATGAAATATTTTTATTACAAAGGTGATACCTAGTCCTGGTAGAAAATTTGGAAAGCATAAAGTTTTGAGGGAATAAACAGCAGTTAATTCCACCATCTCTACTGCTCCAATTCAACATTCAGGTTATTTTCAGAACACTGGGATCATGCTATTCATGTCATTTTATAACCCTCCCCCCTTTTTCCCCATTATTTCAAAATATTTCCGTTCTTCCATGTCCTTCCAGACCGTTCTCATTTTCAATGATCGCAAAATAATCAATCCTACGGATATACCATAATCCAATAAAACATTTTTCTACTTTTGCCATTTAGGTAGTTCCCAATTTTCCGCTATTATCAATATGTGTAAGTGAACATTCTTGTACATAAATCTTTGTATATACCTCGGATCAGAATAAATACTAAAGAGGGAAATTCTTGGGTTAAAAGGTATTTCTATTTTTGAAGTTTGCAATTCATCACAAGGTGATCTCTTTAAACTGCACCAATCTCTAGGTCCACCAGGGATATGAATGACGAGGCCAGTTTTCCCATCTCCTCAGCTCTGGATATTATTAGTTTCTCAAAAACCAGCTACAAATGCTGTCTCAGTAGTTATTGAATTTACATTTCTGAATACCAACGAGAAATTCTGTCCATGCTCTGTGGGGATTACTGGTCACTTGTACCTCTCTTGGACTGCTAAGTCCTGTCTTTCGTCTTCCTCTGGGTCTTACTTTTGTTTGATTGTTTGTAAGTTATTAAGAGATGAAAGATATTAATCCTCTTTATATTGAAAATATTAAATACTTTCTCTTCTTCAATGTCCTTTAACTTTTTTCCAGTTTCATTGAGAAATAATTGACATACATTGCTGTATAAGTCTAAGGTATACATATAGCATGATGACCACAACAGGTTTAGCTAAATCCATCTTCTCATATAAATAGAATAAAAAGAAAAGAAAGAAGACTAAAGGAAAAACAATTCCTCCTTGTGATAAGAACTCTTGGAACTTATTCTTAACAACTTTCCTGTTTCTTTTAAACGTACAAATGTTTTAAATCTAAATATTCAAATCTATTACTTTTTCTTTATAATTTCTTTCTTTGCCAATAGGTTTCAAGTCCTTTTCTACCCGGGTATCAGATAAATATTTACTTATGTATCTTCCAGTTTACTTAAAATATCTTTAATATGTAAGTCTTTAATCTGTGACTCATTTTGGTAGGTGGCATAAAGCTTTTACTTAAACTTTCCCCTACATAGCCAATTGTCTAAGCACTGTTTTAGAATTCATCATTTTTATACACACCAGAAACACAATAAGGAATAGGAAAGTGGATTTGTGTCTGAGATTCCTGTTTGGTTGCAACAACCTAACTATTTTGTGTTGATAGATTAGTTTTACACATTTTAATTACGACTTCAAAACGCATTTTAACATCTGAGACCTCCTAAAAAAATACTCTGGAAAAAAAAAAAATCTACAGTCCTCTTTTATTATTCCTCTTTCCCAAATTTCTGGTGTTTTTTTTCACTCATTTGTTTTCCATACACCCTTTTAAATAATTTGGTCATGTTATTAAAACAACAACAACAAAACCTTTTTGAGACACTTATATACATTGCTGTAACTATATAAATTAACCAGAAAACACCAGCATCTTTGTCTTCTCATTCAAGAACATGATTCGTATCTCTGTTCAGGTCTTCTGTTACATTCTTCAGTACAGTTTCATAGTATTTTTCTGTCACTTAATATACTATTGTAAATGCAATCTTTTACATTGTGTTTTCTAACTGATGACTCTGAGACATAGGAAACCTACCAATTTTTATGGCAAAGAATGACCGTTTTGCCTCTCCTTGTCCCATCTTTTTTTTTCCCCCTTGTGTACTGTTTTAAGTAGCACTTCCATAATGATGTTATACAATACTTATCAGAGGCATCCTCATCTTGTTCCTATACTTAAGAGGCTTTTATTAGAGAATGTGACAGGCAACAAAATGAACCTCCCAATTCATACTCATTCTCTTCCCTCCATTTCCACCACCTATCCTATTTTGTACATCAAAGACCCACTGTTTCACCCAACAGTTTTTGCGAACAAGCTGCTTCAGCATAAGCCTTATACTCCTTCACTAGATTAAAATCTGGGTACTTGATTCAAGGTCTCACCTTGGACCCGGAAGCCAGCCTGCCCCCTAGCTGATCATACTTCAAGGAAGTGATGGCTGCTTTGTGTCCATTGAAGGTCACATTTCCTTCCCCACTTAGGAGACTGAAGATTCGGATACACCCATCCTCATAACCAACAGCTAAATGTAGCCCATCTGGGGAGGGACATAAGCAAGTGACTTCTTGTTTAAGCCCCTGAAGGATGAGGATCTGAAATCACAAGAATCATAAACAATGTACAGGTAGAGTTAAGCACGTCATCAAAGGAAATATGTGGGAATAATTGGGGACAGTAAAATTAAGAGCATCAATAATTCCAAATCATTCTTATGAATAATAATGAAATTCTGCAATCCATCTCAAGTTCTTTCATATAGGAATTATTATTTGTACAGGGCAATGAAACATTCAAGGTTAAAATTATTTTCTCCAAAGCTCTACATTAGCATAGTATGTACAAAAATTTCCCAAGCGATAAATTACTAAGTCCTTATCCTAAGTTAACACTAAATGATATTCCATAAAGGGTTATAAACACATCCTTGTTTTAACTGAGCCCCATCTTGAGAGAAACCAACCTGTAGGGCACCGTTTATCCCCAAGAAACTGGCTGGCAACATGTATCAAAGTATTAACCTCCTGGGAGTCACACAGTGACTGGGCAAGATCAAAATACCTGTATCTGGTGTGGTAGAAATGGTAGGCTTAGGGAACTCAGTGACACAAAATATCAAAGCCTAGTTTAACAAACTTGGGCCTCCTCTGTATCAGTAAAAAAAAGGTTCTGCCAACACAGCTAAGTATTATTCCTTTTAAACGCCTAATATTTTATAACTGGTTGGGAGGGCAACTAGTAGAACTTGAAAAATAAAGAATTGGTAGAGAAAACCAAACATGTCAGAATTGTGATTACAAATAATTACTTGTAAATACTACAAATGGATACCTAAGAGGTAACCTCCTATTTGGTCACGGTTTTCAGAATTTAGTGCAGAAAAACACAACAGAACCTGATACTTGGCTACCTAGACCCAATGAAGAAAGATTTCTCTTTCAGGGGCACATACCTTAAAAAGAAAATCTGTGCATAATAAATCAGAGCTCTCCCACTCTGCCTCTCCATCCTCAAATACCTATAAATCAGTTATCAACCTAGTTGATCTCCGGCTTACCTTCTCTCCTTTTCTTAAGTCCCAGATGAAAACGTGTTCGCAGGCTGGTACTGCCACATAGCGTCCTTTTTCACCACGAAGGGTCACAAAGACAATATTACCTTTTTGGCTGCCAATAAGGCCAAAGACTGCACTGGCAACATAGCGTAGGTACTGCTTCGTGAGCCCCATGTTATAACGTCTGATACTACAAGTGAGGTAGCTGTGCACACACAAAGAAAAGTCAGCTCATTAGGCACCTTGGTTCTGCCAGGCTAGCAAACACCATTGTGTATCATGTGATTAAAACGTGTAACTTGTGACTTCTTAACCTTTATTTACTCTGAATAAAGCACTGACATAAATACCTGGACATCATCATTTTGTATTTGCTGTTGACTCAACATGTAAGCCCTCATTCCTCAAGTCTCAAATTGGTCACCTTGTCGTGCCCGCCTCACCAATAACTGACACATGGCCTTAGTGCAGCTAAATAATTCACTACTGTTCATTTAACCACCATCAAATTTTTACACTGAGATTGACAAGATTGAGTCGGAAAATATTTACAGTGAACAATTACTGTAATCCCATTTCCTAGACAAGCGCCGTTTTAGACACTAGAGTGTTGAGTAAAATAAAATCCCCAACCTCGTGGCACACATCCAGCAGTGATTCTCAAACTCTAGTATGTATCCGAATCACCTGAGGGCTTATGAAAACAGATTGCTGGGAACCACGTCCACCAAAGCTCCACAGTGCCTATTCTGATTCAGTAGGTATGAGATGGGACCCAAGATTTTTCTAAGAAGTTCCCAAGTGATGCTGTGGTTGTGTGGTTCCTCACTTGGGAGAAAGACTGTTCTAGTACATGTATGTCCTTCTTTGATTTCCAAATCAGGTCAGCCACCTACCCTTGGCACAGAAGAATGATACAGCAACATGGCATATTATTTTTGAAAGATGCCTTAGTTCTCCCCTAAATCAAATTCACTGAAAACACGTTTATAGATACAAAAGACAACAAGTGAAGGAGATACTAAGTCAAGCCAGTCTGGTCTTGATATGGAAGAGTGAAAAGTGCCCCAAACACCCACACAACTTAAAAAAGACACAATACTAGACAGCAAATACACCCTTTGTGGGGAAGCTGATTTTTGTTGTTGGTTATTACTTTTAGTTTAATTCTACAGGGCCCATTCTGATTACACTTGGTTTTAGCCTACCTTAACAGACAAATGATCAATGCCTACTCTCTTTAGTATTTTCTTTTAGTAACCATTCATTTTTCCTCACCTAAGAACCAACAAAGCCAGTTAAAAATCAAGGAAAGAATATTAACATGATGATAATGCTGTTAGCCTAGGCCATTTCATCAACTCTTCCTTACTCCTCCAGCCCCTTAACTATAGTTGTTTCTCTTGATAGTCTTTGGCCATCTATCAATTCTTTCCACAGTATTTTCCTTGGAGACTTCATATAGCATACCTAGGCCTAGGGACACCTACATCTCTATTTCCAGTCCTGTTCATGTACGCGAATACAAATGATAGAGTTCCAAAAACTTTCATGAGATACCCATTCAAATACCTTGCAGCATCATACTGAACACGGGTAAAACCGAACCTACCTCACTTCCTGAACCCCTCATTTTTTTCTTATTCTAAGATACACAATCCCCTTTGCCATTCAGGCTCATAAGCCTTGCAGCAAACTTTGGCTCATTAATACAAAATATTATTATAGCAGCCAAGACTTACAGAGCACTTACTATATGGCGATTTATTCAATGTATACACCTGAGTAAACAAATGCAGTTGTTTAATCACAAATAGCAACTGAGTTAACTAAAAGGGTTAACATGTGCAAAGCACTTAAGAGAAGCATCTAGGGGCGCCTGGGTGGTTCAGTCCATTGAGCCCCGGACTCTTGTTACCATTGGGGTCATGATCTCAGCGTCATCAGATTGAGCCCCAAAGCTGGCTCTGTGCGCAGTGGGGAGTCTGCTTGAAATTCTCTCCCTCTGCCCCTCCCCCTGCTCATGCTCTCTCTAAAATAAATATTTTTTTAAAAAGCATCTAGAGGGGCACCTGGGTGGCTCAGTCGTTAAGCATCTGCCTTTGGCTCAGGTCATGATCCCAGGGTTCTGGGATCGAGCCCCGCATTGGGGCTCCCTGCTCGGCGGGAGGCCTGCTTCTCCCTCTCCCACTCCCCCTGCTTGTGTTCCCTCTCTCGCTGTCTCTCTCTCTCTCTGTGTCAAATAAATAAATAAAATCTTTAAAAAAATAAATAAAATGAAAAGCATCTAGAATATTGTAAGTATAAGGATAAAAAATTCTTCACAATAACCTTACAAAGTAGGTACTATTCTTACCTCCATTTTACAGACAAGAAAACTAAGCAAAGAGATATGCAATAACTAGCCCAAAGTCATATACCCAGTTTTAAGCGCCAAAGCCAGGTTCCAATACAGTCAAATTCCAATATTTCTTCTTTTAACCACTAAGCTAAACTGCTTCTTTGCCTCTGTCCTCTCTTTTGTTAGAAACTTTCACCTAATTCATCGGTTTTCTGAAGTAGGATTCTTTTCTCTCTTTCCACTTTCTGTTCCAGGTCTTTATCACTGGGTTCTTGTCAGGTTAGTTGGTTTCCTTCCTTGCCCTGCCACCTTGCTTTCTTCATATTGTTCCTCTCACCTAGAATAAGGTGCACTGTCATGTTAAACCTATTTTTAAATTGGTATTATCTTCTGAGGCCCACTTCCTTCGAGGCTAGACCATTCTCGCAGCCTTTTCTATTGCCTCAGTATTTAAAGTACATTCCATACGACTTGGCACTAGTCATTTGTGTCTCACGTGCACAGATCTTAACGCCTTCTGGAGAGAGGTCACGACCTAACCTTCTTCCGCGACCTACCATCCCTGCTTCCAATACATACGGAGCCCCAAAACATGTTGTTTCTATGAAGCACTGAGGGGCTGGGGCGTAGTAACAGACCTGTCAGACGTCCCTAACCCGAGTCTTCAGTCAGGACAGAGTGAGGGGGTGTTCCGCGCACGGATGCCTGAGCATCCTCGGGAGACCCGGTGCACGCGCCAGCCCCGGGCGTTTGCGGGCGGCCTCCGGGGACGGTAGGTTCCCAGTCACCACCCTAGCAACCGGCCGCAAATGCCCCCGCCTCCTCTGCTGCTGGCGGCACGGAGGCCTCAGCCAGGACCACGCAACTAACTCTGAGCCGCGAGCAAAGGCGATCAAACGCCGCGCGCCTACACTCCTCACCTTGGCCTCCACGAGGTTCCGAGCCTCCTGGACCGGCCCCCGGGACATACCCCTTCCGGGTCCGCTTCGGGACCCACTTCCGCCCGGCATTCCTTTTGCCTTCGAGGAGGAAATGACGTAGGCGGTCTCTGGTTGGTGAGGACCGGCCGATAGCGGAAGTCAGTGTTTCGCCCCTCAAAGCTCTTGCAGCTGGTCACTCTATCCTCCTGGGACTTTGACTCGCCTGACCGCCGACCTCCTGGCCAAGGGTGTCCGGGGATGCCGCTCGGACGCTTTCTACGAGGAGCTTAACCCGCCCTGCTGCCCGCCCGGATGGGACCGCCGGAGTGCTGTAAGAAGTGGGACTGAGACCGGGGCCGGGAGGGAAGGCGGGGCGGAGCGGGGTGGGGGCGCGGCGGGAGGCTCTCGGACTCGGCCGGGACTGAGGGTGCGGACAGAGAGGGTTAGTGCTGTCCGCCCTCTGGAAGAATGAGCCTGCCGCTTCTTTCCCAGAGGTTAGTCGGGCTCCTCTGGCCCGCGGCGCTGTCGGTTACGACCTATCGAAGAGAGAGGGTAGGCGGACCTGGGCACCAGGGACAGTGGTGCTGGAGTCACTAGGAAGGCACGCGCCCTGATGCAGGCGAGATAGGGCGGCTGGGACCTTTGCGGGTTACAGTCCCAAGGTTGAGTTTATGTTGCCGCGCCTGTGGACCCGGCGTTCCACAAACTGAGAGCAGCTCGAGTCAGGGCTTGGTAAGGCGCTAAGCCCAAGATGCTGAGTCGTCTGGATCCCCGCAGTCCCTGGAGGGACATTGATCTGGCTTTGTGTTTCCGCTCCCTGGCCACTTGAGGGGGAAGTGACCAGGGCTGACTCCTCCTTGCTTGGTAATTGAGGTTTAGGTGCTCTGTCACCAGGTAGAAATTAGTTTTTCTCTCTTGCAGCTCTGTCCGCTTCTATTCTTGGGCTGTACAGAAATGTTCAAAAATGAGTTCCGATGTCTGTAGTTGTGGAAAATTAAAGCTAACATATAGCTGTACAAAAGAAATAAGCCTCTGCTTTCGCTTATTGAGCAAGATATCTGCAGCCAACCTAGAAATTAGACTTCCATCTAAATTATCTGGTTATTTTCAGACGTTTCTTGAGTTTTTTCTTTTTTTTCGTTTCTTGAGATCTTAAGACGTCCAGCCAGTCCTCCATAGTCAAGAAAATTGCAGTAATAGCGAATGGATACGATGAGACTGTAGGCAGATGTTGTAGGTGTTTTGAAACAAGATTACTGTGGGTTGGATGAATGAGAAGGGAGGAAATTGTGGCAACAGACTATTGTTTCAATAAGTTTCCTGAGGAAGGGAGCATTTAGGTGGGTGTGTATGGTTAATATCTCCCATAGGAGATGTGCATTATATTATTACAGGGAAAAAACGTGTGCTTCAGTAGAAAACTGCATAATCTAGATTCTATCTAGAAAGCTGTTCCAAGAAAGCAATTTTACAACTCTGTGAACTATAGATAACTAATGTCAGTACTAAATATTTTTTGTCTATAGACATGCAGATTCTGTCCTCTTAGAGATTCAGTGGAAGTTGCCTTCTTGTACATTCATTTCAGTATTTCTGATCTATTAATGTGTTCAATTTTGGGATTCCTTTTATCTGTCACCTCACAGGTTCTCTTTGAGTTAAAATGTTGAACACATTTTCATTTTTATATTTGAATGAGTCATGATTTTACTTAAAAAAATTCCTTTTTATGTTATGAAATATTATGGGAAGGGACAATCACAAATGGAAAAAATAATTTTAATAAGAGTTGGTGTAAGAGCACCTATGTACCAAGATAATGCATCTTATAAAATTCCCAAATCATACAGTTTTTAAAGAGTATAACCCTAATTTCTAATTTAAGTTTCAAATTGTTCAATTTATTAATATTTATCATTAAGACATAGTAAACTTCT